TAAAATAAAGTTTATTATTATATGAATTATATAAGTAGAATTATGTTGATATTTGACATTTGTAATAGGAGATGTTAGTAATTATAGATATAGACTTAAGTACTAAAAGAATATCTAAACGACAAGTAAATCGTGTAAACTCAGATCCCAATTTAAGTTTTGAAGAATACTACAAAGTGTTAGTATATATACTTTACTTGGACTTTTTTATACAACAACTAGAAAAAATATTTTCAATCCATTTTGAAATTTCTGAAGGTACCTATGTTAAATTGGGCGATACCCATTTCCACCAAAAGTAGACCTTTCTCTTTTCCGCCAAATGAGTTATTCACCACGTTTTTACCAAAACAATTGTATACTACGCTTAAATTAAAAGCTATAGCACAGTAATAATTTTATTTAACATATACTATTAATTTAATAAAAGTAAAGGCACTATATAATATATATTGAGTGGAAAACGTAAAATTTTATTTAAAAAAAAATTTTCAGATATCAAAAAGTGAAAAAACGATATTATAATTATTATGGTATAATTATAAATGGTCAGACATAAAAATGTGAAAAAAATGATATATTATGGTATACAATACCTTAGTTATGTAAATTGTAACTATATATAATATAAAATTAGTTGATATTTGTTAACTGATCCAATAAAAAATTTAAAGTTGTTTATTATTAGTGTTTTTTTTTCGTATTTACTTTCGATAACTTTAGTTAAATGAGGTGTGGGGGGGGGGCATTGCTCCCCCAAGTTTGCCATACAAATTGATTTTAATCCCTTCCTCCAAGAAAAATTCTCAATTACGCCACTGACAAAGGTAAATAAAGGAGAGAGGAACTGTCAAAATGTAATATATATTAACAGTAAATATCTATATTATTATTGTGAACTAAAAAATTGTAGTAACTGGTAACATATATGCCAAATTGTTTATTACGAAAAAAAAAAAAATATTTATTAATATCATGAACAAGGTAGCGAAAGCTAGGAACAGTTAAATATAATAAAAAAGAAGAAAGAACAATTATTTAGAAATCTTCTTCTTCTTTTTAGTTACGGCCCTTAAGACCATCCTGAAAACACTAAATTTTGCCACCTATCCCTGTCCTCCGCTACTTCTCTCCACTTGACACCAGACTCTATCTTTTCCACTTCTTTCTTCACACCATCTTCCCATCTTAACTTAGGTCTACCTATTGGTCTTTTTCCATTAGGCTCTTCTTCGATCACCCATTTTACTAAAGTACCCTGTTTGCGCCAAGCATGTCCTGCCCAACTTAGTTTCCGCTTGGTGATCTCTCTAACTATATTCGGCCTCTGGAAAAGTCCTTGGAGTTCCACGTTATGAAGTTTTCTCCATTCCCTCGTTTGTGTATCGTATATGGGGCCAAAAATTTTCCGTAGAACTTTTCTCTCGAATATCATTAATCTTGATTCTTCTGTTTTTCTCATCGCCCAGGTTTCTGAGCCGTAAAGAACAATTGGTCTTAGTAGAGTCATGTACATTTTGATTTTTAGGGCTTTAGATAAGGCCTTCGATTTCAAGACTTTTTCAAGTCCATAAAATCCTCTATTCGCTAGTTATATCCTTGTTGACACCTCTGTCTTGATGTCGTTATCCTCTGTTATCATCGACCCTAGATACTTAAATTGAGACACTCTTTTGAACTTGAGTTCTTCAATTTTGATATATTGTTCCAGACCGCCATTTCTATTTCCTCGGCTAGCCACAAGGTACTCTGTTTTTTCCTCATTAACGGTTAGGCCCACTTTTTTTTGCCGTATTTATTAGGTTACTTCCAAATTTCTATATCATATCTAAATCTTCACCAAGGAGAGCGATATCATCCGCATATGCTAGTATTCCAATTCTGGTCTGTCCTAATATAACTCCTTCCGAAATGTTCATCTCACGTATTACCCTCTCCAGTACTAAATTAAACAGCACTGGAGACAAAGCATCCCCACAACAATTATTTAGAAATATATAATTTATTTAGTTGTTCAAAGAAAAAAATCTAAATCTTTAAAGAATTATTATGTAATAAATATAAATATATATTTAAGGAAGCATAATGATTATAATTTTGCTTTCTAAGCCTTACATAGAATATTTTGGTAGATAGAAGATTATGGTGAGGTATATTAAAAGAAACTTATCTTATAGCTCCAGGCCCATACATTATTTAATAGTTTATATAGAAGTATAATAATATTATTGAACTATCTATGTGTTCGTGATTGAAGGTTACGTTCTCCAGTAAATGTAATTAATGAAGTGTAATTTTTTTTTTTTTTTTTATTCATACATCATCATATGATGAAAATGTTTTTGAACTTTTCTGTCCGATACGATAAAATAGATAAGAACTCCATAATCCAAAGTATCAAAGAACAGTACAATATTTTTTAAACAAGTGAAATACTAACAATTACGTTGTAAGAAACTAAACATTTGTAATGCTTCGTCACAAGTGAGCGTAATATGTTTGTGAAAAGTTATCACCAGATAAATTTATACCACATCTTAAACATTTAATTTTATATTTATCTAGCTATTTCCAACTACTAATCAAAATTCATAAAAATTTTACATTTTGTAAAGACAATCTGAGGACATTACATTAATATCAAATAAATTAATATAATCAAAAAAGATGATCTCGTTATAATTTCATAAGCCTAAGAACACCATTAATTTAATATAGTCAATATCAATAAAACATAATAATTATCTATGTTAAAACTTAATTTCGATGTATAATTATGATAATAATTAAGTTAATTATCAAATACATATTAAGATAAAATTAGTTCTATTATGCTAATTTTTAAATGTAAATATAATGAAAATGTATTAAATTTTAAATATTCAGTATACATCAAAACCTGTTGTATTCTATTTTATTGGTATTTATTTTAATTTAAGGTCCACATAGTTTCTACATTTAAATAATAATAAAATTATTAATTTCAAAACTAATGATTATATTCAGCTTAATTGGTTTGAATAAAAATAGAACAAATATAATAATAATTTACAATTATGATGTGCAAAAAACATACAGTCAAATTTATTATTTGACTTATATACGTACGAATTATTAGTGTGAACTCAAAAAAATATCACTGCAAAACACTAGCAGTGGCGTAATTTAAAATGTTTTTTTTTTTTTTAGCATGAGGGGTTAATATTTCTAAATTGTTATTATCATATGTTAAAATGATTTCATTATAAATATATTACGCCTTATAACAATTTTTCATTATTACAAAATTACGTAGTCTATACATCCCCATATATTAGTCATACGTGATGTAATTGAATATTTTTTTATAAACATATAGTAAGAATTCAAAGTCTCATTAAGAACATCTGTATCTTATGTGATCATTCTTCTTTTTTTTAAAAAAAAGTAATTATTTTATATTATTAACAACCTACTTCAAATTGTCAATCAGAAAGCTATTTGAAGTATTTTACAATATGCGCCGTAAGCACTTTCACTACTCTTTAAGTGTTCTCTGAAAAAAATGCGTACACTTAAAACCAATACATCTCTATTCGCTCAGAATCTCAAATACTTTCGACTTTAAAAGTGCTAAGTGATTTTTCACGCTGTTTAGAAATTCTTAGTTTCATATGAAGTACATTATTCATCACTGAATGAAAACTTCAACATACTCGTATATAAAGAAAAAATATTTCGGTTTGATAACGAATTTAAACAGTACAATTATTTTAAAGAATAGCATTTTATATGATTATTTTCATCAGTTTCAATTATTGACACATTTTATGCGTATAAAATGAAGTTGAGAATTTCATGAGTACAAAAAACACCAAGTATCTGACCTTAGAATTTTCTTATTAACACAACAAGACACACATTTTTGCGTGGATAAAGTCTAAGAATATTTAGTATCCTGAGTTTTCCAAATCCATTTGGTTATGATTCATGACTAATGCATTTATATACTTCTCGTATGATAACTTAAATAGAATATACTTCTAAAATGCATTATTAATAATTGTTAACTTTAAATCAATTTCCAAATTATTAATGGTTATTGAAACATTATTTTTGAACACAATTAGCAAATCCACGTTGGACGAAGTATAATGGTGGCAGAATACAAAATTGTACAAGGCAAGGATGGTAACTGGCGACCCGCGTACTTTTTTTTCTGGCCCGTGCTACATTTTCAAATCACTTCATCACATTTTAGTGATTATCGGTATTTAATTTTATCACGTTGATCGTAAAATGTAGGTATTATATTTTCTCTAGCTTTGAATTCTAGCTAAATCATTAAATAACTAAGTTTAATGTATATATATATATATATACATATATCGGTAGATATAGCTAACATAGCTATAGGTGTTAGCCACTTAATTTATTGTAATGGTCAGTCGTAAAATTAAATTGTTGACAGTAAATGCAAATGATCGATTTCAATGACCTTTTTCATTTTTCATTTTTTTACTATGGCCTGCCAGATTTTAAAGTTCTAAAAATTAGCCCTCTTGTTACATTGAGTTGTCCATCCTTGGAAAAAAGGTAGCATAGTGTATTTGTAGTGAAATAATATTAACTTATTATAATCACAATGCGTAAACGAATATATTAATCGTTTAGATTTTTTGTACCATCCATTGATATAAATACATAGTATGTTGTATTTCATATTCAGAGGACACCTATTCTACTGGAACGTTTATCCCTCGATAACTCTGAAAACCAAATCGAAAACGAACACGTAATTACGTATGCGGTAATTGCGTACCGATAGGTTTTCGATTAAGTTTCATTACAAAACGGTCGGTGTACCGCCCGTCAGAGAATGTCGCGCGGGTAAAGCTTAAATCGTACGCGCAGCATCACATCGTGTACATATCGTGATCTATTTATTTTTATCTTTTATCTATCTATCGTCAGCACGGGATGCCTTCGCACGCGTATGTCCTAACGGCGTGGGAACTCACCCAAAAATATTCCGGATCGAAGCCCGGTATGGTCTTGTGCGTGGCGCCCACTTGGGTCAGGTACTGGAAGAAGTTGTCCAGGTCGTCCAGTTCTTTAATGCCCTCGTCCAGCGTGGTCATCACTTTGTTGGCATGTTCGGCTAGCTCCATGCTGTTGGCCTGCGCGTCTCTGGTCTTCAACTCGCCGAACTTCGTGAACAGCTGCAGGAGTTCTTGGTGCTCTTCGAATAGCCTGCGGGGGGGACGAAAAAAAAAACAAAAAAACATAATGTAAATAAAAAAATACGAATCGAAACAGCGATGGAATGCGCCCTTTTACGGGGGTGTGACAAGAATTAGACCGGCAACGGGTAACGCTCGGTAATCGCTCGGAAAATGTAATCGAAGCGTAAACGACCACCTTGAACACGAGTTCAAGTGATGTAGGCATATCGGAGCCATATGGGACTCGCATGCGTTTATAAATCATAATTCGTCGATCTCTAAATCTATGATTTTTACCGTCCATTGATGATCGTAACATGAATTAATGGTACCGCGCATGAGGATTGGTGTATTGATTTCACAAAATCGTAAAAGTATAATAGTTGTTGAAAGAAATCAGAAATAAAAACACGTACGCGGTCTTCCATCAGAAAAATGTATTTTTATCGTTAACTAGTGAAGTAGGTGACATTCCTTGCGTCGTATGTATTCTCAGTGTTTTCCGTTATTGTTACAGCAACGCGTACCCTAATCAGTTATACGTGTTAGACCAAAGATGGTCACGTTATGTGCACTTTTCGCGGAGGTTTAAAAAAAAAAACATATTTTCTCGAGATTATTTATAGACAATAATTAGATAATTTATATTATCTTTAAAACTGTAAAACCACGGTGCTTTCGAATCAATTGATTCATGCATGTGCGCGTGATTCGGACCACGGTCGTGTCGTGCAGGGAGGAACATTCGTCTCGGTCGGGTGTGCAAGTGGGAAACATTTCGCCCGCTGAACCGTTTCAATGTTTTACGTGATATAAATAATTTATCGGCAACGCGGGATACTCTGTCTTTATGCTAAGCAGCGAGACCGAATAATGCTTTTAGCGATCGTTTCTTCCCTGTACGACCGGACCGTTTGTCGACAGATGCCCCCTAGCGTGTCACGGGGTATTGGTACGCGATGCTTGCACGGCAATTGGAAAAATATTATAACAGTGGATCGAATCGCGAACCGAATAAGATTCTCTTCGCGTTTGGTTTACGTTTTGTTACCGCTACCATACCGGTATGAATAATGATACGGCGGTATGCGTCTGCGGAACCGAGATCGCGGACTAGTGTGTTTCACGCCCATCGAGACGACGACGAGAGTTCCGCAACACCACCGAATAGATTACCGAGAGATCAATCCGCCCACATAATTTTTGTCCACGGACGTGCACGAAAAACAATATGTAAAACGCACGCTTTCGATCTGAATATGTTTCGTTATAAATAAATGATCGTGCACTGTAACGATCGAGTAAAATCTAAATACCAATCCCGATGCATCGCATGGTCCGATGGACCATCATTAGATTCAATATTAGAACGGAAAAATAGTTTGTGCGCAATCCTTAAACTTGCAACGTTCCTTGTTCAATTGCTGTGACGTACCGTAAACTGTTAAAACTGATGACTTTTTGCTCGAAATCTCGAGTGATATTTCGTTGAGTTTAACACTTCGTTCTAAGTGTGTGTTTCATTGAACATTAAATGCACTTTTACACTAACGTATATTTATAAACGATTGTACCACGTTAACTGTTTGCACGGAATTGCATATTCCAGGTTATAATTATCGAGCAGCTGTGTACGCATTTCGTTATGATTAATATATGTCACTAATGTTCTGTTGGTTAGTTACATTTTATAATATTAATTATGTATGATAAATATTTCTATATTAATGTATGTATTTTACCGGATCACACGATATTTAAGCTTAGCGCATGTTGGATTTTTATCGTACGGAATACATTGTTTCGGTCAAACCAATAACGAATCAAATTATTAATTCAGTGTAAAGCATACACAACCGCTGTTCTCGTAATATATTGTCTAATTCTATAATCTCGAAAATAATATCGGAGAAAACGATATTGTACACCTTATTGCTTATTTCGTTGTAATCGTCAGCGTTCCCCGATAATGTTTAACCACTTCAATCTCTATATTGTGTACACAACACGATTGCATATATTAATCAAGTACTACATCTACTCTCTTGATCGTACAGAACGCTAAAACTATTCAAATATTCAGTGTATCTACAACGTATAGATAAGCATATAAATGTAATAACAACAGCTCAACGTTAAGTACGCGTTTGTCACATTGGGCATCAATCAGTCAGGACCACGAGTACACCTACTCGTCGATCGCATAAAGGCAAACATAATACATCATGTTAGATGTGTTGTGCACGTTGATTGTGTTATAAGATTTTAATATTTTCAATTTGACATAAAACTCACGCATTAGCGTCTATATCGATGTATACTAATAACTAGAGGCAAGAAAGAACTACAAGTTGGGTGTTAAGGAAATTGTACTTATTAATTTATAAAAAATAACAATATAGTATAATATATATTACATAACAAAATGCAATATTTTTGTATTTAGTTCGATTATTTACCGGTTATTATTAGCAATTCGATATGTTATACGCTTTGGTATAAAGAATTGGCGATTATTCATTAATTTCAATTACAGACAAAGTACAGAATTTTCAAATGTATATTTAATTGAAATCACTTCATCGGCAATAAACATTGCATCTGCATAAAAATATATCTAACGCAAATTATTCGCGTTTTATATTATAATATTGGCATTAAATTTTAACTCGAAATGTACTAACCCATAAAAATCAATTAAAAACTGCTAAAGATTCGATTTTCGACGTCTTGTATTTTTTAAGTTTTAAAACTTGCCCAGACCCATTGCAAATGTCTAATGAATCTATTGTTATTTAAATCCATATTGAATATTGTTTTTGAAAGTACGGTGTTACAACAAACTGAACCATTATTACTTTTTCAAAACTTTTAAGACCATAATATTGTTCTATGAGTTTCAGTAATGTGTAAATAAATTACAACATAAATATACATAATTATCATTGTTACTCTTGTACGATAATTATAAAAATAAGCAAAATCCATTGATGCAAGTGTCATTATAATAATTCTTCGTAGAATGGTTACGTTGTATTTAATATTATGTACTTATTACAATACATAAATAAAAAACATAATAGTATTGTTATGTAACTAGCTGTCACGAAGGCTTAAAAACGAATAGTAATGATTAAAATTATTTTAAGTCGTACTATACGTCAGTCACATTTGGAGACATGAAGTATAATATAACAATTCATTTTTTAGTGACTGTTGTATAAAGTACATATCAGTACATGCTGTGTGTATTCAAACTTTGAAATAAAAATAAATATGTATAACAAATCTTTGGTTGTTCGCAAGAAAAAATTATTATAAAAATTAGTTTTTACAAAAATAACTTTTAAGTAAAATTGTCAATGTACCGGAATGATACAGGGATTACTACATCGTTTTACACGTCTGGTTTTGATAATTCAACTCAAAACCGTAGCAAATAACAATAAATAATAATGTTAAATGATGACGGAAAAATAATTATGACTCAAAAAAAAAAAAATAAATAAATATTACAATTGGAAATGGGTACACAATAAAATATAGGTCCAATAAAATTCATAGTTAATTTGTCATCATTTTTTTTTGGAAATCAACTGAAAACGCAAAAAAAAAACAGTTTCCATGAATTTTCCATTATATATTTTCAAAATTTTTGCTATTCCGAAAAAGTATCATAAACAATTTAATTTCACATAAATTTCACATTATATTTCTCTTAATGCGTTACTAATTTAATTAAAATATCTATTTATTATCGTATTCACAAGACTAAGTAACATTTGAGTGACAATGTCACACTTTCAATTTAAATATATTTTTATAAATTGTTGGTTTAAAACAACACAAGCATTTTAATACTGTAGTTTTTAAAATTATACTATCACATTTATTTTATTAACATTAAAATGGATATTAAAATGTTTTTATTCATTTTTTAATTAAAATCATCCATATATAACATATTTTTTAATACATTTTATTAAAAACTATATTTTATACGTTCTAATCAACTTCAAACTTTAACTATATCTGGCTCTCAATCTTATGTACAAGCTCTTTTCTCTAACTCAATAAATTCGTCTCTCAATATTTCTCAAAGTTCAATTCCTTCAACCTCCATTATATCCATAAACATCTTAATATTGAATTCCCAGCAAGCTTAATGGTCTTAAATTTTTTCTTAACATGTCGCTTAGCATATATTTATTTAATAATAAATATAATATATCTATTCTATACCGTACATTGTTCGGAGGTCTTAAGATCTCCAGATCATTATTAGTCTCTTTAGCCACAATTTACCAATCTCCCATGCTATCTACCTTACATTTAACGCATCTCCCTTTTGCACCCATTACCTTTACGATGCAATATGTGACGTGAATCACATAATTTTTCATTTTCTCATTTTCCTTCCCTCTCAGTTAGCTACAGTTGTTTTTTTCAAGTAGGTACTCATTCTCTATGATACTCTTGTTCTGATTAAAGTATCCTACATTTTCTTCTAACTTTCCTGATATATTTTTCTCGATTTCTCTTTTATTAAAATACCTGTTTATCTGTTGTAATCTAATCTTAGTATTTTTTCTTTATTGTATCGGACGTTACCTTCATTATCATTTTTATATTTTGATTAATTTATTTCTAATATTTTTTGCTCTATAATTTATGAATGTCTAATATTGAAATACTGTTTAACAATAATATCTGTTTTAAATAAATTCAATAAATAAAAAAAACTTAAATTGTTCACAATACGTTTTGGGTATGGACTCTAAACTAATATTAGCATATATTCCTCCAAAGAGTTTTATACTATATGGAAATAAAATTAAAATCATTATACAATCACTAAGTTATGAATACAGTGATTCGATACAGTTATCAAGTATACAAAAATATTACAGCTGTATAATAATAGCCGGATTGTTGATCATTTTTTAAAATAAGCGAATAATTAATGAAACAGTCATATCATAGATGTCACACTTGTGCAAATTTATAAATAAACCAAAGTTGTGGAAA